ATAAGCCAGAAAGAAAAAGAAAAATACCGGGTGGCTTCACTCATAGCAGGAGCATAAAGGACCAGGGAAGAAAATAATAATAATAATGAACAAGTGTATACCAGAGACATTTTACTGGGGTGGAGAGGGAAATGGGATCAAAAATGGGGTGGGGTGGGGTGCACTGGACTATGGTGACGGCACACGGGTGATTTGGTGACGGGAAGCCCAAGGGGATTGCAACTGATATGGAAAAAGGCACAAAATGATGTAAAAATAAACTATTATATTATTTTTTTTAACAAAGGCTGCCTTGGGTCCTCTCTGGTGGCGCAGCAGGTTAAAGCACAGCACTGCGAAGGCAGTGGCCTTGGGGAGAGTTCGATCCCCGGTCCTGGAGGGGACCCCCAGGGCGCAGCAGACCTCTCCTGTCTCCCCGCTGCTCCCCTCAGCCGCGGACTTCGTCCGTCTGCCTGTTCCACTCCCCGCTCTGTCTCTGGGGAGTCCTCTCACCACCCCTTCACCTCTGGCCTGCACCCCAGTTCTGCATGCATGAATAAATAAAGGCTCCTTCATGCAGAGGCTAGGTCAGGGCCTCCCTCCTGGTGTCCAGCCAGACTGGCTGCAGACCCGCTGATGCGCCCCCGGCCAGTCCACCCCGGAAATCCTTTCTAGTTTGCCTACAAATCCCGCTGTTGGTTGGCTGGGAACCCCACAGGTTTGCTACGTTGAGGACAGGACAAGTTCCAGATGGAGGAGGGGCCCTTGCCTGTCTCTTAAACCCCGTATCTGTGGCCCTGATCCGGGAAGAGAGACGTCCACGCCCCGCGCCCCGTCCTGACCCTTCCCCTAAGAGCGAGGGGAAACGGCCGGCCCTACGCACCTTAGGAAATGGGGTGCCCCCCATCTGCTCCTGGGCTTGCAGGCCGTCCACCCCACTCTTTATTTTCTTAAGATTTATTTTTTTCTATTTATGCCTAGAAGAATTGGGTACAGGCCAGAAGGGCGGTGGGAAAGAGGGGTGAGAGGACTCCCCAGAGACAGAGTGGGGAGCAGAACAGGTGGATACACTGAAGTCCACTGCAGAGGGGAGCAGCGGGGAGGCAGGAGGGGCCTGCCGCCCCCTGGGGTCACTCCCTGGCCAGAGTCAGAACTGGGGGGCCCCCTGTAGTGGCTGCAAGAGCTTGGTAGCCCTGAGGCGTTGACCCCTGCGCCCCCAGCGAGCCTCCATCCGTCCCAGCTCAGGATAGGAAGCCCCCACACCAGCCCCCAGGCCTCCCCTGAGCCCGGTTTATTCCTTTGCTGCCCCAATTGACGCTGTTTTGACAGCCTGACCAGCCGAGAGGACCCAGAGGGCGGCCCCCCTGCACCCGACACCCACACCGGTCTTACTCTGGGGTGGGAAGTGCCTCCGCTCCGTGTGGACCACGAGGCTCAGCTCCACCCAGGAGCTCCGGCCGCTGTCCGGGACGGGCTCTCTGCCCCGCTCCTGCGGGGACGCGTGGGCCTCTTCAAAATGGCGCCGCTGGGCTCTGAGCAAGCTGACCTCGTTGCCCCTCTCCACCAGGCAGTTGGACTCCCGCCGCTCGTTGATCTCCTCCAGAAGACCCCGCTTGCTGGTGGCCCATTTTTTAATGATCTCCCTGGTTCTCTTCACAGAGGCCATCACGCCGGCCGCCACTGGCCAGTGGGTCCTGCAAACCCACGGAAGACGCCGTCCGGCTGGGCCCCAGGAGCCGTCCAGGTCTCTCTCCTCCCGTGGACGCCACCGAGGCTGCGGCCCTCCCCCACCTCACCCTCCCAGTGAAGACCTGATGGCAGGCAGCCCACCCCGCTGGCCACCAGCACTGGCCAAACACTTCACACTGTCTGGCCAGAGAGCTGGCGGTGGGTCAGGACTGTTGTGCGTGTCTTTTAAGATTTACTTGTTGATGCACACAGAACTGGGGTGCAGACCAGAGGTGCAGGGGAGGAGAGGACTCCCCAGAGACAGAGTGGGGAGCAGAGCAGGCAGATGGACGAAGTCCGCTGCTGAGGGAGCAGCGGGCGGTCAGGAGGGGTCTGCCGCGCCCCAGGGGTCATCGAACGCGTGCTGAAGTGGCTGCGGCCAGCCTGCAGTGCTGCACTATTAACCCGCTGCGCCCCCGGGAGGACCCCTAAACTTTAGGAGACCATGCAGACAGCTGAGAACCAGCCAGATCAACACATCCGATGACTATGGACTCACTGCCAGGGAGGAATCCGTCGGCTTCCTTTACGCCCCTTCCAGGGAAGCTGCAGCCAACAGGGAAAATCAGGGGGGTCGCACCCACACCTGCCTCACCCAGCCCAGGGCCAGAAGCGAGGTTAAGCTCCGCACCCGCAGACAGCCCCATTCTGAACCACTTACCTCATTTTCTCTTCTTTCCTAAGAACCCCTGAATCTGGACCCTCCCTGGTGGTGCAGTCGGTTGAAGCGCAGCACTGAGAAGCTAAAGCCACTTCAGCATGAGTCGGATCCCCGCCCCGGAGGGGACCCCCAGGGCGCAGCAGACCCCTCCTGCCTCCCCGCTGCTCCCCTCAGCAGTGGGTTTCAGTCCATCCACCTGTTCTGCTCCCCACTCTGTCTCTGGGGATCCTCTCACCCCTGTACAGACTTCTGGCCTGTCCCCAATTTTTCTAAAAAAAAAAAAAACTTTTTAAATTGTCAAACCGAGAAGCAACCTGGCACAGACATGGAACAGCAAGATCAGCCAGGAAGCATCAAGCTCAGAAGTTACTGGAAGGGACCCAGGCTAGGAAAACACCCAGGTGCCCAAAACCAACTCAAACAGCCTCCAAGCGGCTTCCGCCGAGGTCTCTGGGAATCCCCAGCGCAACTTTCCAAAGGTGACTGACAGCACAGCCCACAGGTCAGCCAGTCGAGGACACGAGTGAGTGAGTGAGGTGCCAGGAAGTGAGAGACCTAGGACGCCTGCCGAGACACCTGCCGAGGGCACAGCTGTGCCACCTTGAAAGCTGCAGATGAAGAAACGAGAAAGTGAGCGTGCAGCTCTCTTCAGGAAACAGGAAGCCGGAAAGAATTCCTGGACGTGACAAAAAAGTTGCTAATAAATTGAAAACTCGGTGTATGCAGGGTTAAACCTGGTGGTGCAGGAGTTAAAGCACCACATTAGGAAGCTGTCTGCAGCCGCTGCAGCCCGAGTTCGATTCCGGCCCTGGAGGGGACCCCCAGGGCTCGGCAGGCCCCTCCTGGCTCCCCGCTGCTCCCCTCAGCAGTGCGTTTCAGTGGATCTGCCTGTTCTGTCTCTGGGGAGTCCTCTCACCTCCCCCTCACACACCTCTGGCCTGGACCCCACTTCTTCTATGTATAAATAAACAAAATAAATCTAAAAAAATATATAGCTGTGCCTGGTCGGGCAGGTCTCCCCCCTTCTCACTCAGGGCTGCCGCAAGTGGAGAAGGTATTGGCCAGAACAGGGTCTTGGTCCCCAGGGGGGCCTCAGAAGAAGGGGGAGTTCCTGGTTCCCTGCCCCACCCAGAGGAGGGTGGAGCTGAGCAGAGAAGAGGAGCTGGAGAAAGCAGGAAGCAGGATGGAGCCAGGAGCCCTGAGGGGCCACATGGAGCAGAGAAACGTGAAGAAACTTTGCTTGCGTCGGGCCCTGGGCTGGGTGAAGCAGATGTGGGTGAGAGACCGTGGGGTGACTGTGGCCGTGTTTATACTGATTCTGATGTTGCTCTGTCCCTCCCAGACGTGTCTGGCCAGGTCTGACCCTTTTCTACGGGTCCCGGGCAAAAGGTGCTTTGGGCTCGAGGCAGCTATCAGGCCTTGCTCTGGGCCAACCCCTTTGGGTTGACTTTTGCCCACGAGGGGACGGGTCACTCCAGATGTTTGATTTAGAAACTCTATTTTTTGTCTTTTCCGTATTGCACTCGCTGGATAAAAGCTCCTTTCCACGAACACTCTTATGTCTGGCCTTGATGCAGCGGATGGCAGAACCTATTTGGAGCAGGCAGGTTTGGGGGTTCGGTGGTGCCCCTCTCTCCGTGCCCTGTGACAGATGGCCCAAGCATGGGTGATTCCAGAGGAGGGTGAGGTGAGGCAATGAATGCTCCCGGGTGGGCTCCACCCCGGGGGAGCGCAGGATGACTCCCAGCAGGCCGGGGGGGCTGTCTGCCTGAGGGGGGTGAGGAGCACTGGGGGGTAGAGCTCCGTGACCCCGAGGGGGGCTTAAACACTGGACCTGCAGGCTTTTGCCTTAAGAGGGCTTTGAAAACTGCCAGTGTGTATAGACCGTAAACCCTCACTATCCATGAATTCTGTATCACAAGTTTGCTACTCACTAAAATATGTTACCCCCAAATTAATACCTGAGGCTACTTTATAGAATTGCCACAGTAATGACTGACAG